CTACTACTCCCATCTAGTTTTCCATTGATTCTGGTAAGGATGAGGAAGTCTGACTTTAGGTTTTACCTTTTGTTGCCTTTTCACTCTGGACAGCTTCAAAGTCTCTTTTCTTCTACCATCTTTTTGCAGTTTCAGTTCCCTCTCTTTTCTCGGTTGAATGATGCATACAGCGAGCTACCGCCATTTCAAGATGCGATGCCAGAGAAGCAACCAGATGCTCCTCCACATCATTAGTCAGTTAACGTTGTCTTATTTTCAGCAACCGTATGGGATTCAATGGATCTTTTAAATAGGTGGAGATCCGAAGTAGGGCTGTAAAATTTTGTAGCTCTATGCAGAAACTTTATGGAAGTGATGGAATAAAGTTGTAAACTATATGAATAAACGTGCATCAAAAAAAAAAAAAAAACTATATGAATAAACGTAGTTTTTAAGAGCATATGGAATGTTTATCTATGATAATAAAGTACGACTTTTGTTCTAGTAATTTGAAAGTATGTATCTCTCAAGTCTTAATTGAGTAGGCTTAAGTTTTATATTAAATTTAAGTAATAATTTTTACCTGGTTCAACATCATAGAACATGTATAAGATTCAGTAGCTACCTTTGCATTGCAGATTGACTTTACGATTAATTAAAAGATTTTAGGGGTGTAAGTAGAGTGAATAAGATATCAAGTCCATTTTGAAAGCCATATAATATGGATATGCAACCGGATCAGATGGTGAGGTCAAGGGAGGGCAACCATTATTAAACATTAATGGAATGATGTTAATAACACTGAGAATTGATTGGTGCAAGAAGAGCCCGTGGCTGCAATTGCAAACTGCGTTCTCAAGATTGGAATGGATCTTGTCTATTCAGCTTCACACAGTGGCAGCTCTACCTCCATGGCTCAACTTGTGCCTTGTTTCTATTTGGAAACTTCATCCACAACGTCTTGGTTTCAGTAAGAGGTAAGAAGGTGGGTCAAAACGAGGGCAGAGGGGAGGGGAGGGACTTTCCTTTGCAATTGCAAACAGTATTGTTTCTGGTTTCTGGAGGATGATTTTGTACAATTCAACCCGGAGCGATAGTACTTTTAAGAGATTGTTATTACTTTTACCTACGAGCTGATCGGACATTGAAAAGTATTAAAAATAATAATATAATTTATCATAAAATAATAATTTTAAAATATAAAAATCACAAAAATTTATATTAAATTAATTAGAATACATCATAATCTTAGTTAGATAAATCAATTCATAATAAAAATAATAAAAGTTAAGTGGATTTAATTTTCTCTGCAAATTAGAAAATTTTGGAAAACATAATGTATATTTATTTATTTAATTTCACATAAAGATGTAGTGAGTTAATAGATGAAAATAGATTTGGTGTAATTTAAGCATAAAAATCACAAAAATCTATGTTGAATTGATGAAGCTATACATTGCAATTCTAATTGGTTAAATCAGTTAATAACAAAAATGATAAAACTTGAAATCATAATTATAAAGATAAAAATATCAAATAATAGATAAAAATAATTTATGAAAAAACGAAACATAATTTGAAGAAGTTGAAATCTTTAATTTTTTGTTATAGATAAATCCTTTATTTTGATATTCAGTTATACTCAAATAAGAGCTGCCACTAGCCTCCAAAGCTTTTCCATTCTAAGCGAAAGCCAAAGATGGACCAATATAATTTGTATTGCATTAGTGATAAGTAGATTTAATTTTTTATGTAAATTAAAGAATTTCATAAAATATAATTCATCTTTCAATTCACATAAAGATTTAGTGGATTAATAGATAAAGATAAGTTTTGTATAACTTGAGAAAATATATTAAATATGATAAGAAATCCTACTGTAACATAAGTAGTAATATCATGAGGATATAATAATCTAAAATCTATATTAATTGGTTATGGTGAAGTTAATACTTTAGTACTTCATATCATATCTTTATTAACTTTATTTTAATTAATTTCTTTAAATTAGGTTTTGTTTTTTCTTAGGTTATTTTTATCTATTTTTTGATATTCTTATTTTTATAACTATGATTTCAAGTTTTATTACTTTTATTATAAATTGATTTAACCAATTAGGGTTACAAGATAGCCTAATTAATTCAACATAGGTTTTTTTTTGTGATTTTTATATTTTTGTGATTGTTATTTCATAATGATAATATATTATTGTTTTTAATACTTTTTAATGCTTAATCACCTTTAAAATTGATATGGAGAGTATAATTGAGATCAAAATGAGATTTTATATCATAATTAAGTAGATTTAATTTTTTATGTAAACTAAAAAAATTCACAAAACATAATGTATTTTTATTTATTTAAATTCACTTAGAGATATAATGAATTAATAAATAAAAATAAATTTAGTATAATTTAAAAACGTATATTGAATAACATAAAAAATCTCACTATTATTACATTAATGGTAACATTTAAAAAATATAATAATCTAAAATTTATATTAATTCAACTCATCTA